AATCGGCCCCGGCGGTCCACGCTTTTCCGGACGCCCCGTCCTAAACTGAGCCGGCGCCGGCGACGCCGTGGTCCTAGGCGGCGGTGGTGGTGGAGCGCCCATAGACGGGCCTCTCCGCGAGTCGGAGGGGCCTGAGGGAGCTTCCACACGCTTTCGGGGAGGTGGGACAACCTCCCCCGAGGGAGCATGCCCGGGGCCCGCACCCGACAGCCGACTGGCTGCCTTTGCCCTCTCCTGCTCCTGAAGGCGTGCACGCTTTGCCTCGCGCGCCCGTCTCTCCGCCTCTTGGCGCTCAAGGTTGTCCAGTTTCCGTCCCATCGTCTCACTCAGGGTTGTAGGACGTGATGCTCCTGGGGAGGACGGCTGTGAAGCCGGTGATCGCGCGCTTACTGGCAAAGACCGAGAGGTTCGGTCCCGGCGGGCCACGGTTCACTCATTGCTTTCGGCTGGTGTGGGGTGGGGCGGCGAGGTAACAACTGGCGCGCTGGCCTGTGCCTCAGAGGGGGCACAAGGTGCCAACGAGACGGGGGACGACAGTGTTGCCGATGCTGTGGCGTGCACCTGAGACGCCGGTACAACCGACAGCCCGAACGATGTAAGCAGTTTAATGAACTGCGTTCCAGTCATCTGGTCTAAGGAGACCTCAGGTGGGACATGGGCCTTGGCCGCCGTGGCATATGATGTCTTAGGGTGGCTCAGTTCATATAAGTCCCTTGCTTCCCGAAATGAGATGTTCTTCGTGGTTTTTAGTGCGATGATCTCCTTCTCTCTGGCGTACGCCGGGCATGCGCGATCAAAAGTGGAGTGAGGTTTCTGGTTTTTCCCACAGTTCACACACCACGGGTTCGCTGCAGTGCACTGATCGCTCGGGTGCTCCGGAGAAGCACACTTGCCACATGCTGGCTGGTTACGGCAGAAATCCCTCGTATGTCCAAACATCTGGCACTTAAAACATCTCATGGGGTTCGGAATAAAAAGGCGCACCTTCACCTTCACATAGCCTACCCTTACTTCAGATGGTATGTCAGGACGATTAAAAGTCAGTACGATATTGTTGGTGGGGACCAACTCCGCACCCCTGCGCACCTTGATGCGGCGAGCATCTGTCACTCCGAACTCGGCAAGGCCGTCGACTATCTCCTCCTCGCTGACATCTTTCAAGTCAAAGCAGTTGATGATACCCTTTGAAGAGTTCTTTGTCCTGTGAGCCTCAACGGTCATCGCCACTGACACGTCCTTTTTTCCTTCCGCATTCCGCACGCAGTACACAAACCTATCCGACGTCATTGCCCGTTTCGCGTCCTCTCCATTCTGAAACTCGACCTCGATCCCACTGTCCTTCAGCTTATCACATCGGAGCACCTTTCCAAAACGATCACACCCATTTCGCCTTTGAAAGGGCGAAAGGGAAGACAGCGCCTTCTCGGCGCCTCGAAAAATACAGATTCGAGGGGTAGGCGCTGACGCGCTACTTCCTGTACTCTCTGTCCGCCCCCCTTTCGGGGTGCGGGTGTTTTTTTTTATTTGAAGTTGCCATAGGTGTACGGTTTAAGTATTCGGCACCGAGGCTCCCCACCCACCTCGGAGCCCAACTGGGGGACGGCCCACTCACCCAGGGGGTGGTGGTACCGCCAGGGCTACCCCGGTGCTATACGGGGCGAACGACGCCTCCCGCACGGTCAGGTGTAACCGGGGAGACCCCTCCCCGTCCTGACCGTGGTTCAGCGCCGCCACCCCTTGACCCCTTAAGCCGCTGCGCGCGGTCAGGTGCCCCAAGCGGAGACCCGCAAAGAGCACCCAATCGCAACGCGAGCGACAAGCCGCTAGACCCGTGTGGGACCCCACGGATCCCCCACGCCCCCGGATATTCTGGCCAAAGTGGAGTGTTGGGACGTGCCGTGACTGACCCGCACGACGCGCCCCTCAGCCACCAGGATCCGATCAACCCGGGGACGTGGGCGAGGGGGCACGGCGACCCCGATAAAACGAGGATGAGGAATGGTGATAGGGCCGGATGTGGGAGTGCGGGTGAGGTGGAAGGAGCGGGTGGGACAAGGAGCAGGAGCTCACGTACCGGCAGGGTCGCTACGCCCTGAGAGGACCAGCTTGCGCTGTCCACCCGTTACCGGAGCTGGGACCCGAGGGGGCGCTAGTCCCCTACACCGGCCAAAGCCGGTGCCCCTGCGGGGGGCAGCATGTTCCTAAAAACAAAATGTTGACATGAGTCATTTTATGTCATTGACCTACTGTGACCTTTAAGATGTCCAATGCAAATGTATAATGCGATTTTTGTTATCAATAAGTTCGAAATAAGCACAAGGAATTATCCCATACAGTATGCCCTAGAGTAATAAAGCAGGTTGGTTTGGACCTTGGTCTGACCTTCATACCTGATTCTAGGTCAACGGGTTTTGTTCATTCAATTGTTATGCTATCTAAAAAAGCATCTAGAACAAGTATGGCTTCGTCTAAAGCTCCGTTGTTGCATCAGACTAAGTTATTCCTCAGAAACTGACTTCGCTGAATGTATGGCCTGACTTTGACCTGCCGTAGGTCAGCGACCTTACATGGTACACCCAAATTTTTAACACCACACGATCTTCCATCCAATTGTCTAAAGCTAACATCACCTAGCGCGGATATGCCGCGCCGTTTGGAGGCTTCGGGACAAAACCTTCAAGGAGCCAAATTGACCCTCACCCGAGCGCGTGTTAAAGTCACATGCTATTGCAAAAGAGGCGTCAGACCCAGGTGCCCCGTGCCATAGTTGACGAATTGTAATGTCTTCTGCGGAACTCGTCGCTAAATAATTGCTAACGTCACGAGCGCTCAGGATGTATAGGAAGAGGAGCAAGTCTCAAGGATGCCAATGTGCGGCAAAGAAACTTTAGTGTCTTCAACGCAGTTAGCGGGCGCATTATGATGTAATACCAGGAACTCAATATTGTACCACGGCAGAGACAATGCGATACAACGATGGAACAGGTGATGCTTCATACACTAATAAACTATCATGTCCACGGAGCGTTCCAAGCGTGGCCCCTTCGAGAGCAGAATATCGCTGCACAACGCGGCCACCTCGAAAAGAATGGCAGCTAAATGTGAATCCGGTACGTGCACTGCTTGGTTGGCCTCGCGGTCGAAGTCTTGAAACTTTTCGATCGCGCTTCGTAGGAGGGCGGATCAAAATCGGCTCGGCCGCCTCCTGGCGACAGTTCTGAGTCCGACAAGCTTTGAAGCCGCGGGTGACCGAGGCTGACACCTCAGAAACCTCCCGTCAGACCGGCGGCGGCGCCAGAACACAAGCTTCCACTGTAACTGTATTGCGGATGTCGTGCGACAACCTAGCGGAAAAGATACGCCAATCGTAGACAAGACATTTGTGACACACCTGACAGGAGCACATAAATAGACATAGAAAATTGGAGTAATCTGGCCCTCTCGTTCATTGTTCCCCGTTCTCTTTCATCGCTCGAGCAACCGAACATCCTTATTCTATAATCGCACGTTAATTCTACTGACGCTTCCGCTGCAGCGAATACAAACAGCTTTACCAGGAACACGATAACTCACGGACGGGATAAAACCAGCACGTTAAATATCCACCATTTCCACAAGCAACGCCAGCCAGCGAAGTATTTTCGTCACGGCACAGCGCGACGAACTAAGACCACGACAAACTCGCGAGGCCGTTCATCAGAGACTTCAGAGACATCAGAGACAGAGACATCACTCGAATGGCCACTGCGACGAGCGCAACACATAGCGGGCGAGACACCACTTAAGAAACAAAATTGTCAAAATGACACGCCCCTCAGGCAGCCCCTCACCCGTGGACAAATATCGCGCACCTCAGCGGCCGGCCTGTCCAGGGGTCAACCCCGGCCTCAGCAGACATCCCCACTGACCGACAACAGCTGGCCTTGGACGCTCACGGGCCGGCAGATACAGGACATATACCCCCCCCCCCCCCGACCCACGCAGTCTAAACATAATTGTGCTACATCCTCCTGAAATCAGCGGTGTTTGCGGGCAGGAGGCCAGTGATACCTCCTCAGACGGTCTATCCGCCCACTGCTGCTGGGTTCGAGCGGAACCGCGGCTCAGATGTCACCCCAGCTCGAGCAGGGCGTGCGCTCAGCCCCTTCAACATGGGCACGGACGGGGTGACAGACTGCATTCAGGGCACCAAGTCAGGGTACACGGCCGCTGTGACGTCACCGAGGATTCGGCACGCTCCGGTGCATAAAGATGGTGCAAATACACCAACTGTGTGCACCGCAGGCTGCGTGGATCGGAATGTCAATGTAGGTACGTTGTTGTGGATCACATTTATGGCGCAAAGACCACGCATCTGTTTGAAACCTTAATCCAGTAAATTTTAATCAGGCCGATAGCTTGAAACCCCTCCCCCCCATCGAGCGTTGTTCGACGATCCGCCGGCTGTCAAATATTCGATGACGTCACTGCGACCGCGTGGTCGCTGCAGTCCAATTGCCGCTGCCACACCTTTTTTGGGCCGAACGCAGCCCCTGATTCCGAGAAGCAAATCGAATGCGAATGCTCCACGCCGCTCGGCTTCTCTTGGCCGCGCAAAATTTTTATCTCAACGCGCCTGCGCACCTCAGGCTTAGTTCAGATCAGGTCAGGTCAGATCAGATCAGATCAGATCAGATCAGATCAGATCAGATCAGATCAGATCAGATCAGATCAGAGCAGAGCAGAGCAGAGCAGCTCCAGCTCCGACACCAGCTCAGCTCCAGCTTCAGCTTCAGCTCCAGTTCCAGCTCCAGCTAAGCACTAACTCAGCTCCAGCTCCAGCTCCAGCTCCGACACCAGCTCAGCCCCAGCTCAGTGCAGCTCCGACACCAGCTCAGCTCCAGCTCAGTGCAGCTCCGACACCAGCTCCGGCCGGCCGTCGCGGCCGACGCTCAGGCGTCGGTGCGCGGCGTCGGTGGGCGGTGTCGGAGGCGGCAGCGGGCCGGCCAGCGGCGGCTCGCGCGCCGGCACCACCCCGGGGATGGTCGGCCCGGGCGGCAGCGCCGGCGCCGCGCTGTATCGCCCCAGCGTGGCGTAGTCCCCTGCGACGGCAAGGCGGCGTAGTCACCAGCACGGTCGGTCGCATAACATATCACACGAACGACAAACGGAGACGGCTGGTAGAGGAGAGCCCATCAGATCACCACAGACGTGTACAGAGTTCGTCAGACCACTGGCAAATCAACAAAGGCGTGGACAGAGTCCGTCAGACTACTGACAGATCAACACAGACGTGGACAGAGTCCGTCAGATTACTGACAGATCGACACAGACGTGGACATGGTCCGTCAGATCACTGACAGATCAATACAGACGCGGACAGAGTCCGTCAGATTACTGACAGATCAACACACACGTGGACAAAGTCCGTCAGACTACTGACAGATCAACACAGATGAGGACGGGGTACGTCAGACTACTGACAGATCAACACACACGTGGACACGGTCCGTTATACTGAAGCCAAATGACTACCAATGTGGGCAGTCATGTCAGCAAGTCAGACAGATATCAAATAAACATGTCGGACATGAATGGCGTCCGCCAGACAGACGTCAAATAAACGATGAAGGCTTAGACAAAGGCCTACTCAGAAATGAGCACGTACCGGTGTCTCCGCTGGGACTGTGTTCGGCCTCTGCAGACGGCAGTACGTACCGGTGTCTCCGCTGGGACTGTGTTCGGCCTCTGTAGACCGGAGCACGTACCGGTGTTCCCGCTGGGACTGTGTTCGGTCTCTGCACACGGGAGCACGTGCCGGTGTCTCCGCTGGGACTGTGTTCGGTCTCTGCAGACCGGAGCACGTACCGGCGTCTCCGCTGGGACTGTGTTCGGCCTCTGCAGACCGGAGCACGTACCGGCGTCTCCGCTGGGACCGTGTTCGGCCTCTGCAGACGGCAGTACACACCGGTGTCTCCGCTGGGACTGTGTTCGGCCTCTGCAGACCGGAGCACGTACCGGCGTCTCCGCTGGGACTGTGTTCGGCCTCTGCAGACCGGAGCACATACATACCAGTGTCTCCGCTGGGACTGTGTTCGGCCTCTGCAGATGGCAGTACGTACCGTTGTCTCCGCTGAGACTGTGTTCGGCCTCTGCAGGCCGGAGCACGTACCGGTGTCTCCGCTGGGACTGTGTTCGGCCTCTGCAGGCCGGAACACGTACCGGTGTCTCCGCTGGGACAGTGTTCTGCCTCCGCAGAAGGGAGCACGTACCGGTGTCTCCGCTGGGGCTGTGTTCGACGCCGTCCTGCCTGCTGTCGGGCCGCTGTAGGGTGGCGTACGTATTGCTCTGCAGCTCGTCGGCCAGGGCGCGGTCGTCGGCGCTCGGCCGCGGCTCCGGGTCGCTCACCACCTGCATACTCAGCTCCTGCTCCTCGTACATCTGCACGACGACGCGCAAGCCCCCGTCAGTCAGCACGCCTTTGGAAGTCGAACTTGAAACAATCCGCAATCTCCGCTGAAACTGTGTTCAAACAGCCAATAATTGCCGTGAAGTAAGTGAAGTTCTAACCTTCAAACAACCCATACTTGCCGCGAGCAGCCTCAAACGTGAGCCACGGCTTACGACGCCTATGTCACAGTCTAAGGCATCACCGACGGCGGTCCGTGACACCTGGCCAGTCTATTACAGCACCCGTCAAACGCTCCCCTGCCGGGAGCAGCCGGCGGCAGCTGGCCGACGCGGCAGGCCGGGCCCGACGTCGCGCTCGGCCCGTGGCGAGCCGGTATTGGCCCGGCCCGTGGCGGTGGCACCCCCACCTTGAGCTTGTTGCCGATCCAGAGCGGATTCTCTGTGCCGGCCGGCCCCTCCGGCTCGGCGGCCTGCCGGGCCGACGCCGGCTGAGGTCGCTTCACCTGCAGGCAGCACACACGGTACGGGTCAGGCACGGGTCACGGCACGGGTCACGCCCATTGGCCATCGCCGAATGACACAAACCATGCGGGCTCAGGGGGCCCGGGGCCCGAGACGGCGGCGGCTGGCTGGCATGTGGACGCAGCCTCGCTCGCCGTCGCTTTGAATCGTTTCGAACGCACAGCTTTACTGATAACTACTGTGGCCGTAAGGGCCCGAATGCATCACGCAGGCACAGGCGGAGAAAGGCAAATATGGCCGGTGGCTCGACTAAAAACCGCGGTTTTGTGCGTCGAGCACTATGGCACAGCGTTCTGACAGCCCTCACTTCTCGCACGCTTCAGTCAAACTCACGGCAACGCTCGCACACAAACACGACTGGTGTAGAGAAGACGGCCCGCTGTTGACAAACGCTTTCACCAACGACCGCTACTTCATTGCGCCGACTTGTTCAATCATAAAACATATGGAGCACGGGTTGGATCCAATGCATCCAAGCAGTTGCCAGTCTGCACCGGTAGGGGGCGGGGGAGGGGAGGTGGCGTGCAGCGGCGGGCGACAGAGGCCAGTGAGCAGGGGAGGGGGAGGGATGCAGCGGCGGGAAACAGTGGCCAGTGAGCGAGGGATGGGGACGGTGTGCAGCGGCGGGCGACAGAGGCCAGTGAGTAGGGGAGGGAGGCGGGGGGGGGGGGGGGGGAGGGGGCAGCGAGCAGCGAGCGACAGTGGCCAGGGAGTAGGGGTGCAGCGGCGGACGACAACGTGCCCATTGAGCGGGCGCCGGGTCGCAGACCTGCTCCATGTCCACCGGTATGGTGGCCGGCACGTTCTTGAGGCAGCAGCAAACGGCGCACATGGTCACCAGGCCGATCACCAGCACCAGCAGCAACGCCACCAGCGTCACCAGCGTCTGACTCGTCTCTTGCACCACCGGACGCGCGTCCGCCGCCTGCCGCACCAACACCACATGATGTCACTACACGACCTGAACCGCGCCACAAGTGCACAAGGCGGCTCCATACTTGGGGCCCGAGCCAACTCTGAGGACCCATCAAGCCACTGAAAGAGATCGTTGATCGTATCATTTCCCGGACACAGAAAACCCGACAGCAAATATAGCTCGTGACTAAACGTTGAACGCTAATCAAAGCTCCGATAAGTGACAAGTGAGCGGTATGAATCCAGGCAAATCTCGAGCGAACCTGTCCCTTCCACACCCCGCCGATCCAACAGGCAGTTTGCCACTCTGGCGCCACACCACACTCGCAACGCTGGTCACGTCCACGCAGTCCACACGGTCACGCTGGTCGCGGTCCATGGTAGACGCCCCTGACTGTGTCTGGTCCTCTGACGGGCCTGTGCCCCTTCTCCATTCCACAGAAGACCCCCGTGGCACCCCGTCCGGTCCTCTGACGGACCTGTGCCCGTTCTCCATCCCACAGCAGACCCCCGTGGCACCCCGTCTGGTCCTCTGACGGGCCTGTGCCTCTTCTCTATCCCACAGCAGACCCCCGTGGCACCCCGTCTGGTCCTCTGACGGACCTGTGCCCCTTCCCCATCCCACAGCAGACCCCCGTGGCACCCCGTCTGGTCCTCTGACGGACCTGTGCCTCTTCTCTATCCCACAGCAGACCCCCGTGACACCCCGTCCGGTCCTCTGACGAATGTGCACCCCTCTCCCGGCGCATGGCAGACCCCTGACACCCCATCCGACCCCCTGACGACGGACCAGCACCCCCTCCCCCAGCCCCGGTCCGGTGCTAACCTGAACCTTCTGCAGACGTAGCTGGGCGTGCTGCCGCTGCAGGTAGTCATAGTGCTGGTCGAACGCCCGCAGCACGTCGGCCGTCGGCACTATCTGCTGCTCGGCATCCGCCACGTGCATGTACATGTCCGACCTGGCGGCGGCCGCACCGACGCGTCAGCCGCTGGCGGCCAGAAGGCGACGGGGCGGCGGTGGCGGCGCGTGCAGACAGAACACGCGACGATGGGCGCCACGGCACCTGATGCGCGCTGACAACATTGGTACTCATGGGGAGGGGACCCGTATGCCAAACGCATACCTGAAATACAAGTTTGTAAAGGTGAATATTTCGGTACTGAATGCATTGCAATGAGACCGAGCGAAAAGCTGCCATTCCACACGTGTTAATATCGCTGTGTTCATGATACGTTCGTGTGACGTGTGTTCAGATCATGCCATCAATTCAACCATCGGTGCAACGAACAAGGCGGAACCGTCTAGCGCAAGCATCATCCAGCGCATTTTAAATGGCAGCCGACTTTGTAAACCAGTGTTCTTTACCTTTCCAAAACAGCTTCCGACGCCAAATAACACACGACTGCGGCTGCTGCACGCCTGGGCACTGTTTACACCTCAGCAGCCCCGTGAGAGGGGTAGAAACAAGGCCCCCTGGCGGCCAATAACGCAGGCGTCCCACCGAGCGCACGCTCCACGGCCAGAGGCGGGCACCCACCACGTCCGCTTGACCACGTTCTCCTCGGTCACGTGGTATCTGACGTCATCGATGACGACGCGGCCGCCGGTGGCGTTGCTGAAGGCCTTGACGATGCGGTCCGGCTGGCGAACGATGGCGTCGGGCGGCACGCCGAGCGTCACGTGCACCAGCTGCGAGGCGTCGTACACCCACACCTGGCCATGGCGGCAGGGGAAGCGTTACAGCACTGGACGACGTCGAGCAGCCCCGGCCGCTCCGGCAGGCACAGTGCCAGGAGTGTGGAACTCTACTGCTCAGGGACGTATGATCACAACAGAATGCACATTTGACTTGTCCCGAATATCGCACATCAGCAACGTCGCCTTCGACGACTGGTGCGCTACACTCCGGGAACAAGTCTCACAGAACAGTGGCGCCCGCCGAAGACCTCGAGACAGACCAGGGGAACATCGTTACCACGCTGACTCGAACGACGCACGCCGGTCGCCATCAGCGAACGATCAACCGCTGCCCGAACCGACCGAGGGCCGGCTGGCAGCCTCCAACGGAGAGACACCACTTCCAGCAACGACACCCTGATGAAGCGGAAAACCCTTCGACTAACGTGGACCGTAACAAAGGCCCTTACCACACCGTCTCTCGGGTGGACGACGACGCCATCTCCCGCGGCGGTGACTCGCGTGAACTGTAACAGAGGCCTTCACCACACCGTTGGTGACGCCGCCTCCCGCGGCGGTGACTCACGTGGACCGTAACAAAGGCCCTCACCACACCGTCGGTGACGCCGCCCCCCGCGGCGGTGACTCACGTGAACGCGAGCGAGGGCCTCACGACGCGGGGCGTAGCGCTCCCGCGCGGCCAGCTGCACCAGGAACCGGTGGTGTTTGTACTCGCCCATCAGCGTGGCGCAGGTCAGCCGGCCGCCCGAGTCGATACTGAACGGAGAGGGCACGATGGCGCCGCTGGCCACCGCCGAGCCTGTGTGACCGGCACGCTGTCAGGTGAGATACTGAACAGAGAGGGCACGATGGCGCCGCTGGCCACCGCCGAGCCTGTGTGAAAGGCACACTGTTAGGTGATACAACGAACGGAGAGGGCACGATGGCACCGCTGGCCACCGCCGAGCCTGTGTGAAAGGCACACTGTTAGGTGATATAACGAACGGAGAGGGCACGATGGCGCCGCTGGCCACCGCCGAGCTTGTGTGACAGGTACGCTGTTAGGTGAGATACCGAACGCTGTCCCATACAACACGGACGGGGAAGCGACACACGTCTTTTTCTAGACGGTTCTTTTCAGATGCTGCGAGAGCGAGTTTTTGAAACGGTTCTTTAGCCCAGCATGAGCTGTGCTTGCCAGGCTCTGGGGCACCGAAACTGAAGACAACTGCCGCCCTGTTGTCAACTGAGCGCGCGTCCGGCGGCGCCACTGACCCGGCTTGTAGAGCTGGGTGGACCTGATGGTGTAGACCAGCTCGCCATTCTGGCCCTGGTCCGGGTCGAACGCAGCCACCGTCGTCACCGGGTCACGGAACTGGGCCAGCTCGGACACACCTGCCGTCGCCGGCGGACCGTCACACAGCTGAGGCGTACGCGCCGCCGCGGAGCCGCCGTCCACACAGTGGCCCCGCCAGCCGCCCGTATGTAGCCACAGAGCTGAGGCGCGCATCGATGCACCACGCAATGTATCACGCATGATGAGACGGTCAGGTGCAAAGTGCTGCGAAATATCCTGCTGCAAGAAGACAGGACGAGCGTCGCGTCCATTCTTCTATCCATGATGCATGCAGGCATGCACGCATGATGAGACGGTCATGTGCGAAGTGCTACGAAATATCCTGCTGCGAGAAGACAGCATGAGCGTCGCGTACATTATTTTACCCATCTTTCTATAACTGTAGTCCGATTCGCAGCATTTCCGCAAAACCACCAGATTCAAGAAGCTTCAGCACAAAGGCAGCTCTCACCAGCAAAGTACTCCTTGGCCTCGAAGGCTGGCGGCGAGTCGTTGAGGTCGAGCACGGTGATCTTGATCACGGTCAAGGTCGGGTCAAGGTCGTCCGCCGTCACGTTCTCCGCGTAAAATGAGGCGTTGCTCGTGGCTGAGGGTGGGGAGAAACATGCTGGCTGACACACTGCAACTGGCCAACTGTTATAAAAACCACAGTCCAATGAAAACTAGCATACGGGCCTTAAGACCGCATACAGTATCAGCATGGAACAGTATGGAAAGCAACTGAGCACCGCGTAACATAAACATCACGCAGGCCCGCGTATCACAAGCTAACCAAGTGACGACCCATGAACCAAACACGACACTCACGCTCCTGCACCAGGCGCAACTCCACCGCGCGCTCGACACCTGACGCTGTCGGCACCCCGCGCGGCCGGCGCGGGCCCTGGCGCCCACCTTTCACGATGATTTCGTACTGGTCGCGCTGCTCGCGGTCCAGCGAACGCGTGACGGCGATGTCGCCGCGCTGGCTGACCGAGAAGGCGGCCGCGTCGCCGCCCACCAGGAAGTAGAAGGTGCGACCCGTCTCGGCCGAGTCGGGGTCCTCGGCCCGCACCGAGCCTGCCGCGCCGCCACCGTCTCCGCCGTCACACACACGGCGTGGCAGTGCGGACCGCCGCGCATCCCGCGCCGGCTGGGTTACCCGGCGGCGGTGATCGCAGGCGGGGAGGAACACACGACAGCGCCGATCTCAGCGATAACAATGCTAGGCTGCCGGACACCCCGAATGCCGGTAGTTGGCACCATTACGAACCAGTACACGAGCCACGCGAGGGGGAGCGAAGCCAAAAAAAGTCTAGCACGCCATCTGACATCAGTCGTCGAAAGCTGACAACACAGCACAACAGACGCGAAATGCAACTTTTCACATCGGCTACATCGCCCAACAAATCGAGCGATCCGACGCTTCTACGTCCGCGTACACAGTGGCGTTCGGCGTCTGCCGGAGCCAGCGCCGGCGGCGGCAATACAGCCCCGGAGAGCCGCCGCCGCTCACGTTCGGCCCGACTCACCGACGGCCGTGCCCGGTCGCGAGTTCTCCATCAGGCTGAAGCGGTGCACGTGCTCGCGGAACTGCGGCACGTGGTCGTCCACGTCCAGCACGTGGATCTGCACGGAGCGCGCCGACTCGTGCGGGATGGGCGAGCCATGATCCCGGGCCACCAGCACCAGCTGGGGACGGAAGGGGCGTCGGAGGATGAAGACAAAACACCAAGTGAATACCAGGCACCAGCTGGTGGCTTGGTGAGCAGATACCAGGCACCAGCTGGTGATCGGTTGGGGAGATGCCAGGCACCAGTTGCTGATCGGTTGGGGAGATGCCAGGCACCAGCTGGTGATCGGCTGGGGGGATACCAGGCACGAGCTGGTGATTTGTTGGGGAAATGCCAGGCACCAGCTGGTGATCGGTTGGGGAGATACCAGGCACCAGCTGGTGATCGGTTGGGGAGATACCAGCCACCACCTGGTGATCGGTTGGGGAGATGCCCGGCACCAGCCGGCGATCGGTTGGGGAGACACCAGGCACCAGCTGGTGATCGGTTGGGGAAGATGCCAGGCACCAGCCTGCGATCGGTTGGGGAGATGCCAGGCACCAGCTGGTGATCGGTTGAGGGAGATGCCAGGCACCAGTTGGTGATCTGTTGGGGAGATACCAGGCACCAGCTGGTGATCGGTTGGGGAGATACCGGGCACCAGCTGCTGATGGGTTGGGGAGATACCAGGCACCAGCTGGTGATCGGTTGGGGAGATGCCCGGCATCAGCTGGTGATCGGTTGGGGACATACCAAGCAATGGCGTGTTAGTCGCCTGAGACACCGCTCACACAACATCGGACACATGCGGGAACAAACACACAAACACGACCGTTTCGAGTACCCTGTGCCAACGTCATCAGTACCAACACATCAACAGCCAGTTCACGCCCAAAACGACTCCGTTGCTGAAGAATTCGCATGTTGGGAACGTCGCCACCAATACCAATCACCGTACTACTCCTACTCCTCCCCTGCACACTTTCACCCACGCCGGTCATTCTTCGAAATTGGTCAAAGTACAACAGAAGAAGTCGTGCCAGCGAGCACAGTCCGGATGCGGGAAAAATGTGCGGCTGGTTTTGAACGGCTGAAGGAAGGGAGACGGCGGTACCGCTCTCTGCCACGACAGGGCGCCATTGGCTCACCGTGTACTTGTCGCGCGACTCGCGGTCAAATCGGACGCGCGTGCGGACCTCGCCCGTCTCCGAGTCAATGGCGAACTCGTCCGTCTCCGAGCCGTCCGTCTCGCCCACCCTGCAACACACACTCGTCAGTCACGCAGGACCTCCCGTTACTCGCTGAGCTTCGCAGCGTGGTGGCCCAACGCGGCACTCTAAAGCCAGACACAAATGCCTCAACCGAGACGAATTTCACGGCCTAATGCCGCCACAGCGCCCGCCATTACGACCACAATGGCATCCATGACTGATGTCCAGTGATGCCAAGAACTGTTTGAGCCAGACAGCGCACGACAGCAGCCTGCCGGCCGACGCCGCCTGTCTGCCGCGTTTCGCCGTGCGGTCTCCGCCCCCCACCCGGGCCGGCGAGACTGGCACACCGTCACCGGCCGCGGGTCGGCGTCAGGGTATCCGCCCCACCTGAAGTAGTAGGAGAGCCGGCCGTTGTCGCCCTGGTCCCGGTCCGACGCCTCAGCCGTCAGCACCAGACTGCCCGCCTCCTGCACGTTCTGGCGACGGCACGGTCACAGCCAGGTCAGAACAGGTCACACCGGGTCACAAAAGGTCACGGCCGGGTCAGAACACGTCACACCAGGTCAGAACAGGTCACGGACGGGTCAGAACGCGTCAAGGTCGGGTAAGAACACGTCACCGTTAGGTCAGAACAAGTCACGGCCATGTCCGACCAGGTCACAGCAGGGTCAGACCAGGTCAGAACCGGGTCAGAACAGGTCACAGCCAGATCAGAACAGGTCTAGGCCGTGTAGACCAGGTCGTTGCCGGGTCAGAACAGGTCAAGGCCGTGTAGACCAGGTCGTTGCCGGGTCAGAACAGGTCAAGGCCAGGTCATATCATGAGCAGCGGATCACACACCAGCTCGGCTGGTCCGTACCAACGCTGATGAGCCTCACTGCCAGCATGCCACACCGCGCCAAAGAACCAATGAATCGTAAGTCCCGCGTCAATCACACCCCCAAACTGACACCGTTTTTCCCCAACGATCAGCTCCCTTAAGTAACATCCTCGCGTCACAATTTCAGTACGCGCGCCGGCACCCTCTTTCAAGGCACTAACCCGACCGAAGCGGGCGTCAACACGGTTAACGTCACTAAGGGACACACCAGCATACGTCACAAGCATACATACAGATAGCATGCATAGTCCGAAGGGGTCTAGGATCATTGGACAGTTTCTTCCTTTTTCCTTTTACATTGTCCGCACATGAAACACCCCGAAACCGATCAGCACCGCGACTCCTAAGGAGTACAAGGAGTACAAGGCTAACAACGGCTTCACCAAGCCGCACACACAGCTGTGTGGCCGGCCTGAGCGGACCAGCTCCAGCTCCGGCTGCGGGACAGCCCCCGCGGGCGGCGCGCCTGCCTGCCGAGCCGGCCCGGCTGAGGGGCCGCACCCACCTCCTCCACGTAGTAGATCTTGTTGTCGGTGGCCGGCTTGATGAAGCGCGGCTTGTCGTGGTTGGCCGCCAGCACGCCCACCTTCACCGTCGCCGTGTCGTTGAACTTGCCGTCCGTGGCCAGCACCGTCAGCACGACCTCTGCGGCGGAGGAGACGGCACTGAGGTCAGCACGGAGGAGCGGAACACAGCCGGAACGAGCGAAGCGGCGGCAACGGCGTTGAGGCAGAGAGGGCGCTGAGGTCAGCACAGGGGAGGGGAGCGCAGCCGGAGCGAATGAGGCGGCGGAGACGGCGCTGAGCAACGGACGGTGCGGCTGCAGAAGTTGTCCCGCGCCAAATTGTCCCTCGCGCGGGAGGCAAGCGGGACGAGCGCCAACTAAGATTAGCTGCTTAAAACGCACCGCCCAACGTGGGGCTCGAACCCACGACCCTGGGATTAAGAGTCCTGACCTGGGATTAAGAGATTAAATTACATATATATATATATATATATATATATATATATATATATATACATATATACAAAACAAGCAGAGGCGAGCACAGCCTTTGACTAGCACAACTCAACCAACAACAAAAAAAACATGAAGATTCAATACTGCACGGAAAAAAACGAGATCTAGTGACGATCATGGCACACGATGTGAGCAGCACCACGTAATCACGCGTGCAGCAGTTCGCGATGTGATCATGCGTGCAGCAGTTCACGATGTGATCACGTGTGCAGCAGTTCAGGACGTGATCACGTGTGCAGCAGTTAATGATGGGATCATGTGTGCAGCAATTCACGATGTGATCATGCATGCAACAGTTCACGACGTGATCATGCATGCAGCAGTTCACGACGAGATCACGTATGCAGCAGTTCACGACGAGATCACGTGTGCAGCAGTTAATGATGGGATCATGTGTGCAACAGTTCACGATGTGATCACCTGTGCAGCGGTTCACGATGTGATCATGCATGCAGCAGTTCACGACGAGATCACGTGTGCAGCAGTTCACGACGTGATCACGTGTGCAGCAGTTCACGATGGGATCACGTGTGCAGCAGTTCACATGATCACACTTGCAGCAGTAAACGTGATCATGCGTGCAGCAGTTCACGTGATCACGTGTGCAACAGCTCACGTGATCACGCGTGCAGCAGCTCACGATGTGATCACGCGTGCAGCAGTTCACGTGATCACGTGTGCAGCAGTTCACGACGTGATCATGCATGCAGCAAGAGTATCCCTGCTGGCATGTGCCTATCCGTGACAACAGGGCGATAAAAGCGAAGGCGTCAATGTGCCGCCAAACATACCGCGAGCGGTCGTGTCGGCTCGGGGTTCGCATGAAACGTGGATAGAACAACAAGCCACGACCAGCGAGAAAGCCCACGGCGTCGCCGCGGCTGAGAGAGCGCGGAGGCTTGGCTTTTCACAGGGGTCAAAGAGCACACGAACAATCAAGAAACAGAAGAGAGGCAGAAGGAAGACAAAACGCCATTCACGCCATTCCGCACTGACGCAACAGCGCGGCTGCGGTCTCGCGCAATGCCGCCTCGAGCAGGAGGCAAGCGGGAAGAGCGCCAATTGAAATTAGCTGCTCAAAACGCACCGCCCAACGTGGGGCTCGAACCCACGACCCTGGGATTAAGAGTCCCATGCTCTACCGACTGAGCTAGCCGGGCATACTGCAAGCATATACATGAGCAGAAAACAAGCGGGAGCGATCCCAGCCTTTGGCTATCACAGCTCAACCAACGAAAAACATGCCGATTCCATACTGCACAGAAAACTGAGGTCCGCACAGAGGAGTGAAACACGGCCGGAGCGAGCGAGACGGCTGGGACGACACTGAGGTCAGCACAGAGGAGCGGAACACGACCGGAGCGAGCGAGACGGTTGGAACGACACTGAGGTCAGCACAGAGGAGCGGAACAGTCGGAGCGAGCAAAGCGGCTGGGGCGACGCTGAGGTCAGCACAGAGGAGCGGAACACGGCCGGAGCGAGCGAGACGGCGCCACCAGTGCCCGCTATTCCGCCCGCTCACGTGAGGCACTGAAGGCTGCTGAGGCATCATGACGCTGAGCCTATGCCATGCGGCCTGCTCGTCATGATAGCGTAATTGCTCAATAATAAATACACCAATGGCCAGAGCCAATAAATACACCAGAGGTACAAAGTCGTGCATGCCAGCAAATTGACACCGAGAAGGCCGTCCTCACGAGTTCGAACATAAGCCAAGCGCATCCGAACACATTAACACCAAGAGGACCGTGACTGAGCAGGCAAGGCTGCCGGCTGGCCAGGCCTGGCGCCCAGGGCCGGGGCCGGGGCGGACCCCACCGGCCGGTCGGCAGTCCACGCACCGCTCTGGTCGGCCGTGACCCGCTGGGCCGGGTACAGGAAGCCGGAGTCGGGGTCGAGCCGGAACCAGGCGGCGGCCGGCTCCGGTCCCAGCGAGTACCGCACGGCGGCGTTCTCACCAGCGTCCGCGTCCGACGCCAGCACCTGGGCGGACAGGCACACAGCTGTCAGACGTACAGGACAGGGCAGGCACACAGGCGTCAGATGTACAGGACAGGACAGGCACACAGCTGTCAGACGTGCAGGACAGGGCAGGCACACAGGCGTTAGACATACAGAGCAGGCCAGGCACAGCCGTCAGACGTCCAGGACAGGGCAGGCACAACACAGTCGTGAGACGTACGAGACAGGACCGGCACACACGCGTCAGACGTATGGGACAGGGCAGTTGCACAGCCACCAGATGTACAGGACAGGGCAGGCACACAGGCGTTAGACGTACAGAGCAGGACAGGCACAGCCTTCAGACGTACAGGACAGGGCAGGCACAACACGGTCGCCAGACGTACGGGACAGGACCGGCACAAAGGCGTCAGCCGGAACGACAGGGCAGAGACACAGCCATCCGACGTACAGGACAGGGCAGGCACACAGCCGTCAGACGTACAGGACAGGGCAGGCATACAGGCATAAGACGTACAGAGCAGGACAGGCACAGCCGTCAGACGTACAAGATAGGACAGCCACACAGGCGTCAAACGTACAGGACGGGGCAGGCATACAGGCGTTAGACGTACAGAGCAGGACAAGCACAGCCGTCAGACGTACAGGACAGGGCAGGCACAACACGGTCGTCAGACGTACGGGACAGGACCGGCACAAAGGCATCAGCCGCAACGACAGGGAATAGACAAAGCCATCCGACGTACAAGACAGGACGGGCACACAGCCGTCAGACGTCCGGGACAAGGCAGGCACACAGCCGTCAGACGTACAGGACAGTGTGGACGATGCGGGTAAATGCACGGCTCCTGGCCGACGACAATCAGTGGTGCATGACATAAGGCAGCCACAAGCGTTAGCGGCGTGTGAAAAATACCACGTGACAAGCGCACAACACCATGAAAATAAACAGCGATGATGCAAACGCTACAGGAAACACGGCAGAAACGCGGGAGCCCCGGCGTCTCCTGACCGGCGCGACCGTGCAGCTGACGCGGGCGCCTGCCCGCCTCACCTGCAGTATGGGGCTGGGCGGCGACAGCGGGATGTCCTCCACGATACTGGCCGAGTAGACGGCTCGGCTGAAGACGGGAGGGTGGTCGTTGATGTCCTCCACAGTGATGTTCACCTGCGGGTGGGTCTGGGTCAGCACCTCGGCCGAGCCGGGCTCACTCTCACAAACAGACTGCCACCGTCTGAAGACGGGAGGGTGGTCGTTGATGTCCTCCACAGTGATGTTCACCTGAGGGTGGGTCAGGGTCAGCACCTCGGCCGGGCCGGGACACTGGGGACTGTCCCCAGTGCCCAGTGTGCTGAGCCGGTCGGAGGGCGACGCCGCCGCGTGGCGGGCTCGGTGTGCGCGGCTCACTCACCAGAGTGGAGGCGCTGCGTCGGCCCTGGTCGGGCCCCATGTCGAAGGCCGCCACAGTCAACAGGATCTGCGACCGCTCCTCCCGATCTAGCGAAGCCGACGCCAGCCGAACCACGCCCACGGAGTCCACTGTGAACTCCTCCGCCAGGGGGCCTGTACCGGGCACAGGGGTACGTCACAGCGAGACCACGCCCACAGAGTTCACCGAGGACTCCGCCAGGGGGCCTGTACCGGGCACAGGGGCACGTCACAGCGAGACCACGCCCACAGAGTCCACCGAGAACTCCTCCGCCAGGGAGCCTGTACCGGGCACAGGGGTACGTCACAGCGAGACCACGCCCACAGAGTTCACCGAGGACTCCGCCAGGGGGCCTGTACCGGGCACAGGGGCACGTCACAGCGAGACCACGCCCACAGAGTCCACCGAGAACTCCTCCGCCAGGGAGCCTGTACCGGGCACAGGGGTACGTCACAGCGAGACCACGCCCACAGAGTTCACCGAGGACTCCGCCAGGGGGCCTGTACCGGGCACAGGGGTACGTCACAGCGAAAACAAGCTCCGGCGGTTGCCCCTGCCGTCTGTCACACCCCTGCCGTCCGTCACGCCCCCGCTGTCTGTCACGTCCCTGCCCTCTGTCACAGGAAACGTCACACCTACTGACATCATATACCACCTGTTAGTCAATGTTAGTCACATGTGACGACATAACAACTGTTCCAATATGTGTCTTTTCGTGAAACTCTCCCAACGTGACTTTCATCACATAAAACAGCACAACCAACCAACCAACCAACCCAAATGTTATGTGAGCATGTAGCATGCCAAGCTGTTTATCACACATGTTCGTCACGCTACGTCGTCGAACCTTACAACAGCTGGGCTTAGCACAACGGGGGGGGGGGCGAGGGGACAAGACCAAGGGCAAGGGGGCAAGAGCACATGAGGCATCGGAAGGAAGGAGAGAGATGAGGGAGACCCAACGCAAACCACCCCAAATCAGACACAACGGCTGCGGCTGTGGGAGACGTCCCGCGCAGGGCCGCCTCGAACGGGAGGTACGCCGGAAGAGTGCCATTGAGATAAGCTGCTCAAAACGCGCCGCCCAACGTGGGGCTCGAACCCACGACCCTGGGATTAAGAGTCCCATGCTCTACCGACTGAGCTAGCCGGGCATGGCTACCGTCCGGACATGGCCAGAAAACAGGCAGGGGGTGAGCACAGCCTCCGACAAGCACAACAAAACATCTGCCAACCAATGCAGCACATAAATCACGTCTTCTGACGACCACGATCCGTGAGGCGAACCTCAGGTCTCGCCTTGGCTAAGAGAGCAAAAGTACAGAAGCAGAAGAGGAAGAGGAGGAGGA